TATGGATTTATGGAATATACAATAAATGAATGAATGAATGAAATGTCATACATGAACACTTGTTTTAATATGCAAATCTCAAGTCATTTCAGCATTATAAATAACATGGTTGACAATGTTTAACTGTAGGAGGGGTGTGGAAAAATGGTCCACAGGCATGTAACACACAGGCTCATTTCACAGTAACTACCCAGTGATACTGAAAAGGAACTGTGATGTGTGGCATGATCTCAGATATTCTCCTTGCACTAGAAAGAATAACAAAACATTGTTCAAAGACAGTAAAGGCGTTCTTATGTAAATTATGCATCACCCCAAGATGTATGGCAGAATGTAGGTGTAGCTCCATGCACTTCTAATGCTGGAGACCTGATGAAGGCAAACAGTCAGCTTCATGCTACAAGTGTTTTATTCCACTGGCTAGGAAACTGGAAGAGCCTCAGAGCCAGCAGATGCTTTGAAGGGTAGAAAATCTCTACCCCTTCCATGAACTGAACCATGATTCCCTGAATACCAAGTCTTTGTCACTATAGAGCTACTCTACTCCTGTTAAAACTGCAGTGGCTGCAGAATCCAAGCCAAATAAATGGAGACAAACTGGAGAACGTGACATATGGAATTAGTAGAATACTAAAGGGGAGGGGGGGAAGGAATATCTCAGATAAAATTATAAGCTTGAAACAAATACAAACAAAAATACTAGACTTGTAAAGAAGCATAAATGAATTTAAGGATAGCTACTTGGTAAAACATGAGAATGGTGACATGCTTTGTGGGTAATAATGTTAGACTTAAATTCATACAGCTGAGCCCCTACCATCCAAGACTACTTATTTTGAGTTCAAACTTGCTACGAAAGGCATAAGTCACCATATAATAGTCCAAGCAGGAGGTCAAACATTACATTTTGATATCCATAGACTTCTTAATTCTATATGGGATAAGCAAGAATTGTCAATCTACTACTGTATTTACTTATAAACAATGGCTGTAGTAATTACCAGGGTATACCACTGTTATCAGATATTTTAAAAACTTATTCAGAATTTCTCTCTTGAGGTAAACTCCACAAGTAGAAATTATTGGGGCCCATCAGTGTGGCTTCTGACCTTGACAGTATCACCGTCATTGAGGGGAGGGGGAGGACTAGCAGAACCCCCCCTGTGAGTGCCTCAATCTCAGAAATGAATTCTATGCTCTTGATTGGGTGGGCAGAGGCTGAAAACATCAGCACAGGATTCTGGAATGTCACAGAATGATAAGAATACCTCACATTGCACCCTATATGATAGTAATCTTTACAGTTACTTCCATGAGAACTTTAAATCTCTTCAACACAGACTGGAGGCATTTGACAAAAATTATAAGCTTACATAAAACGACAATTTTACATGTTCCTTATGGGTGTGAAGCTTGATCACTACAGTAAGAGAACACAGGCTGAGGATGTTTTGAAAATAAAACGGTGCTGAGTAGAATAGTTGGTCTTTGGAGCGAGGAAGTAAGAGGAAGATGGAAAACTTACATAGTGAGTAGCTTCACAATTAGTGTGAACAAACAAAAGACGATAAGATGGGTAAAGCATGTAGTGTGCATGATATGGGAAATCACATTAGTCTGAGAACTTGAAAGACTGTTTGGGACACTAAGGCATGGACTTGAGGATAAGGCTGAAATGGAACTTCAAAGAAACAGGATGAGGGGCTTGAATCAGCTCTATCTGGTTCAGTGTCGGGGCCAGTAACAGGCTCATGTGAACACAGTAATAAACCCTCAGGTTTGATAAAAGGTAGGGGATTTCCTCATCGGCTGCTTAATTTCCAGTAATAACTAACAATAAGGAATCATTTTCCATATAGTTGTTAGTTATTCAAACCATTCAGTTTATGTACATTCCAGAACTGAGCAGGTGACATTTTTTACTATATTATGCCAATCCTTATTTAACCCAAATCACAGCCCAAATTGTTCCACCAGCTAATGGAATGAACAACAACCATCTTAATTTTATGCGGGAAATTCCATTTATGTCCTTATGCGAACTACGCATAATTATGAAGAAACATAACTGAAAGCTGAAATTACCTCGCACTTGGTTGATACCTCCCACATCGAATTCCAGCATGTGAAATAGGTTATGGGACAAGTGGATAATTCCATTTATAGCTTTATGTAAACCAGGCTTTACTGTAAATCTGCATGGCTGCGAATCAGAATCACTTCACAAATCTAAGTAAAAATCTTCCATTTCAAATTTGAAGCAAGACCATCTGACAGTATTGGCGCTATTGCTAGGTCATAGACTGGTGGTGGCCCCCCCCCCCAAATAAGACCTTTATTTTTAACTCTGTGAAGAACACTCCATAACCAGATATTTACAAAACTGGATCTGTGCAACAGAAGAAAATCAATTTAATGCAAGGTTCTTAAGTTATAAGTATAGTACACATTCTACAATGGTCAGAAATATAAAACATTAATGCACTTATGTAAGAGCCCAATATTGAGTCACTTTTTCTCCTTTTGACGATGATACAGACTGTGGTCTGTCAAATGTCAATGTAATTTCTTTCACCTTCTTCTTCAATTCTTTTTCAAAAATCTGTAAGAAGAAGAAAAACCCCTTAAAATATGCATTACACACTGGGGAATCTGTTGCCCTTACAACTCTGAAATAGAAGCCTGTAGAGAAATCAGTATGAAAGGATAATGCTTTGTAAAGGAAATCTGTATTCCAGAGGAAGAATGTAGCCACGGGTCTGAAATGTAAACAAATATGGTGTTACAGCAACATTTGGATCTCACAGGAAACTATGGATACATGGAACAGTGAAGCAGTCATTCATACAGTCCTCAAGCATATTATTATTAATAATCTATTATTACCTATCATCACCATCATCATTCTTATCTTTTGGAAATACGGTCTTTTGAGTCCCTGCTTGGTACATCAGAGACTTTGTGCTTCATTTAAGTTCTGCTGTTAACCAATAATTGTTCCTCTACTAGATGCACTTCAGCTGCTAATGCTGCTTGCAAGGATGTCGATGTGTTCAGAACCAAAATTGTTTTTCGTAATCATATTTTACAGGGATTCTTTTTTCTTATGAAAAACAACAATCATCAATACAAATGCATTTGTATGAACGAAAAGAGAAGTCTAAAAATTACATGCCTATTAGACTTTAAAGGCTTCTAACTTCTAAATAAAAAGAACATAAACAGGATCAGTGGCAGCAGCAAAGGTGTATCAGTGTGGAAGGAGGCCATTTTGAATAATCAATCATAAAAGACTAAATATTTGTGACACTGTAAAGATATTTGTAAGGGAAGTCATGTAAAATAAATAATTAAATCATGTGATCAATAATTGTTTCCATTTCAAATGTATCCTGACTTTTGCCCCATGCTGTATAACACAAACATATTCAATATGCAGGAAAAAAAAAGTAACTTTCTACAAGCTCAGATTTAAGAACATATAAACAACAATAGATAAAACACACTTCACAGGACTTTACTTACATCATCAGCAGAATTTTCAAGAATCTTGCTCATGTCCCATTCCACAGATGGTAGTGGCATATTAATAAACTTTGCTGCTGTGGCAATATTAGGCAAAATATGATTCTGCAGTGTTTGCAGTTCCCACAGTGAACTCTCAATTGCCTGACTTTTAATTGGATCGCGTTCCTCCATGATGTATGGATCTAAGCTTACTAAGAAAAAAAATAATCTTATGTTTAATATTCTTCTATTACATGTTCATGCAGCATTATCACACAACAATTTATTACTATCTACATCATAGCGTATTGTCTATAACATAATAATGTGACTCGCAAATGGAGGCAATGTTTCTGCTGTAGACGCACGGACTTGTGAATGCCTCGTGCATACTGGCCACCTCCAGATTTGTTCCTAACACAGGTACATTATCTTGGGAGCCTTGGGACTTGAGCTGTGGTGGATTTCTCTGATATGCAGTTCCAGGCTTATGTGGTATATGTACCTACCACAGCTCAGCATATAACTGTCTCACTGAAAAACTTTTCTCTGATAACATAAGTTTTGGTCTTTATACCATGTACAAAAGAATTTTATTTCAGTCCTCCTGCTAGCCACTGGCTTTCTAACTGGCCTTTTAGGTAGGTCGTCGATAAAGAAAAAAAGAAAATGGTGGTAAGTAACCACAACAATCATGGAGAAACAAGCATCCACATGATGTGTGAAATTCAAATGGCCAGTTGGCAAGAATTGGTTTAGATTTATTGTTGATGGTTTTAGATAGATCATTTATGTAGAGAAGAAAAAGTAAGGGACCTAAAATTGATCCTTGTGGAACACCGTGCTTTATAATTCCCCAGTTTGAAAATGCATTATGACTGGAGTTTTTATTATTTATTTCAACTCTTTGATACCTGTTTTTGAGGTATGATTTGATCCATTCATTAGCTTTGCCAGTTATTCCATAGAAATTTAATTTCGATAGTAAGATATCATGATTAACACAATATCCCAAATATCTGAACTGTGGCACATTTTCAAAACATCTGTTTCCTATCTTTATATCACGATTTTGCCCTGCATTTTGGTGACGAGACAGCAACATATACTTAGTTTTCTCAGTGTTTACTTCTAGACCAACCTCATTACTTGCATCATTTAAAGCTTGTGTCTTTCTTTATGGTATCTACATTATCACCCAGTAGATTCGCATCATCAGCATAGACCAACAGTTGATGTGTCCCATTTAATTTCAATCCAACCTGGTTTCCCTGGACCTTCTTATGGCATATTCTAAGTCAAAGTTGAAAAGGAGTGGCGATAAAGCGATAAAACAAACGTTTACCTACATGGACTTTACTGTGCGTTTCGTTTAAACACGTTTTAATCAACCTAACTAGTTTCATGGATATCCCAAACTCTATCAGAATATTGTACAATACTTTCCTCCTAACTGAATCATAGGCTTTCTTGAAGTATATAAATAGCTGATGTACTGTCTTATTGTACCCCCCTTTTTTCTTCCAATATCTGACGAATGCAAAAGATCTGATCTGTTACGTTGAAACCCACACTGATGATCCCCAATAATTTCATCTATATATGGACTTAACCTTGAGAGAAGAATATTGGATAAAATTTTGTATGAAGTTGATAGCAGTGATATCCCTCGATAATTACTATGGTCAGTTTATCACCCTTCTTGTGAACTGGTACAATAATAGACTCCTTCCACTGATCAGGCAATTTTTCCTTATGCCAAATAGAAGTAATTAGATTGTGGATCTTAGAACGTAATATTTCGCCTACTGCTTGAATTAGTTCTGCTGGAATCTGATCACTACCTGGTGATTTATACCGTTTCAATTTTGCAATAGCACTTCAACCTCAAAAGGGCTAGGATCAGGTATTAACGGATCAGCTGTATCGATTTCTGTCTGCCTAACATCACTGACCCTATGTACATTCAGTAACTGAGAGAAGTAGTTCCTCCACCTATTCAAAATATTGTGGGAATCTGCAAGCAGATCACCATTCTCATCCTTCACTAAGTTACTGCTAGGCTGGTAACCCCTCTTAAAGTCTTTTATTCCTCTATACAGGTCTCTAATGTTCTTGTTCTTCCTGTTCATTGCAAGCTCATCAATTTTGTCTTTCAGATATTCCCTCTTTTTGTTCATGAAATGCCAGCTGGTTTTACGTCTTATATTGTTCTGATTATCCCCATTTAACTCGCTTGGATCCTGTAACCATTGCAATTTGGCCTGCTTTCTTTGATCTAATAATTTTGAGCATCCTTCATCGAACAATACCTTATGCTTCTTTGGTTCATAATAACCTAGACTCTCTTTGGCAGACATTTTGATATTCTCTCTAATAGTTTCCCAAGCTTTATTAACATCCACCTCAGTTTCCAAGTTTTTGGTAGCCACGAACCTATTTCAGATATAAAAACAATAGTGCTCTTTGCCCTCTACCTCATTTAATTTCTCAAACTGAACCTCTCCAAATGAACTCTGTGTGTTGTTTGTTTGCTCACTGCCAGTCTTTCCCTAACCTTTGCCACCACCAGGTAGTGGTCAGTATCACAATCTGCTGCCCTCATTCCTTCATTACATTAATTTATTGTTATATTTTAGTCCTCTATTCACAACTTTCGCTTAGTGTTGAAATGATGTGGTTTTCTCCACGCTGTCATATCAGATTTATTTGTTTATACAGTAAGGACATGTTTTGGATATGCGTGCACCTATGCACACACAGCCCTCCTCAGTCACGTCTGTATATTGTTGTTAAGTTGCTACACTGTACTGTTCTCTTGCTGAGTGAAGCATTAATAAAACCAAGATTAGAACAGGCAAAAACTGAAGCTGATTGTCTAAATCCAAGGTTCAGCTACTATGCATATTGTGGCAATAACAAGGGAGGGAAGCACAACCCAGACAAAGAACAGGTACTTCTGGCTGCATATATTAATGTTCAAAATCTTTGGTAAATTACAGCCCCAAAATCTTACCTTCTCCACCTTTTGGGTGATTAAGAAGTCTCTTGAGGCCAGGATGTCGCAATATCAAGTTGCCAATGAACATCAGAATAATTTGGATGTCATGAGGCGGTGCAACTAAAGTAAGACGTGCCAACCGTTTTGCAAAAGCTGCCACTAAATGCTCTGATAAATGCCTAGTAATGTTAAGAAAATATATGTCATGTAGAATAATTAGAATCACAATTATTTTTACACAAACAAAGATATTTGTATAATAACCATATGTCTCTTCTTTCTCACAAGTTTCAACTAATTTGGGCATACATAGTACTCTACAAATTTATTTACTTAGGTAGTGAAATAAACTCATAAAGGGAATTAATGGACAGATCAATAGAAGTAGTTCTAAATTCTTCCAAATTTAAAAAGAATATTATGGAACAGAGATATCCCAAAGTGACACAGGACTATAACTGAAAGTGATACAAACACAGACCGTTACAAAGATAAACAACAGCAATATCCAAGCAATGGACATGAAATTTTTTAGAGTACTGCGGGGAAAAAAGAACCAAGAGACAGAATAAGGAGAGATTTTTTTTGAGAAACTGGAATTCTAGATTTGTTAACAGAGTTAGAAGAGAAATGGTTCCTATGGTTTAGCTACGTAACAAGGAGAGATAGAACAAGGACACTCAGAAGGGCATCAGAATTAAAACTTAAAGCAGTGATATTCATGGGATGACTTGTAACAAATTGGGTTAGCCCAGTACTAGAGGACAGGGAATGGTGGATTTTAGATTTTAGGGGAAGTGACAAGGCCAGTCACCCTGGGGCCTCAACAAAACAGAAATAGAATCCACAGACTTTACTCAGACATTCGCTTCTCTAAAACCATGAAAAGTTAATTTGTATTTTTAGTTATTATAAGAAATAAGAACCAAAAGAGAGAGAAAGAGAAAAGTCATAACCTAAATTTGTTGTTGTGAGCTGGAAGATAAACTCGCCACTTCCTTCTGGAAGATCCACTTCTAAAAACAGCTGTCTGAGGCTATTCTGAGTGAAGAAGACATTAAAATATGAAAATACACTTGCTCATTCTGCCCCTGGTTCACTAAGACTGTGACATAACTTGTGATGTAATGGCAAGTTGTTTCCAAGATTTGGATACACAATTTCTGATGGCATACTGTGATGAAGTTATGTACAGCAAGAAATTTTGACAAGATTTTCTCATGAAAAATTATGGGGCAAAATTTTTTGGAAATAAAGTAACACACACAATGGATTCTGAATGTGCCTGTTCATCAATGGATTAAAATTTCAGAGTTCATGATGTTATCTGATATGAAACATTAAACAATAACATCTCCAGTTACAAATTGTCAGTCATTAATGTTTATTTTTTACTCATGTCTGACCCTATACAGGGTTCCCATAAAAGAATAGTAACAACAAGAAACTGGTATAGCATACATCAGTAAATGTGAGAACATTGTGTTCTGTCACTCATACAGTTTACTACAAGCATTATGCTTTCGAATGACTTGCCCTAAAATACAGGATTTCCAAACAAATACGTAGGTTATCCAGAAAGTAAGTTCCGATGGGCTATTGAAAAAAACAAGAACTTATTTCCATACCATTTATATTGTCATTTGATGTACATGCCATACACTACTTTTAAACATAATTTCCACCATTGTTGAGGCACTTGCTGCAGCAGGACACAAGTTTTTGTATCTCTGAATCATAGAATGATGCTGCCTGTGATGCAAAACCATGTGTTAATGGCTTCTCTGACCTCACTGTCATGCAACCGCCTGTCACTAAGGGCAGTTTTCAGATGCAGGAACACATGAAAATCACTTGGCACTAAGCCTGGGCTGTAGGAGGGATGACTGAATTGTTCCTAGCCAAATGTTACGATGAGATTCTGTGTTGCGGCAGCAGTGTGTGGGCGGGCATTGTCATAAAGCGTCACAAAACCCCAACCAAGCATGCCATGTTGATTGTTCTGGATTGTAGGACACAGTTTCTTAAGTGTGTTGATTGCTGAGCCTTGAGGCAAGAATTCCTCAAGCAGAATGCTTTTAAAATAAATGATACACACCCCGTCCCAAGTGCAAACAATATATATTATATGTCTTTGATCTTGTTCTTTTCTACACTACATGTTTCGGCCTCTATCGGCCATCATCAGGTGTATACTCTTAACGTTGCTGCCACACTGAAACCCAGTCTAAAATTTAACATTTAAAAAACACATTGTTATTTTTGTCGTATTATCAACATCTACCTCGTTGATATGTGTCTGGTATGTAGATTATATTGCACACGTCAAATTTTCCTGTAGTAGCACTATAAAATCTTTAGTTATGATTT